TACCTGATCCAGCAGAAAGCTCGGTAAATCATTCTTGAACAAACTAGAGCTAGAAGAGGACATTCCCAGGGCACCAGCACTTTGTTCAAGTAGCTTTTTGCAGCAGTTTTCAGCCAGTATTGGGAGCCCTGGCATCAGACTGTCATCAGTGAGGTGTGCCAGGCAGACCCACGCCACCCCTCGCTGTCTCTGATAGTGATCTGGGCAGGCGCGAGGGTTTGTTCACTTGGAACAACTTGCAGAATCACTGGTATCTGATGTGGCTCATCAGAGGGGAATCCCATCCGTTTAGATGCCCTAATTAGGAAACAGGACTAGACAATACGAGTGTAAATCCTGAACCTCTGTCTTTATCACTTAAAAGATTATTAAAGCCTTAATGCCACTGTACCAGACCTTATCACCAGCTAATCCAGCATCATGGGTTTCTGGCTCTACAGGAGACTTTGACACATTTGAGATGAATGAGGTGCTGGGAAAGCTGTGTAGAAGCCAGTATGAAATAGTTTGTAAGCAGAAGTGGAACTCCACAGGCCAAAAGAAATTACTCTGGAAGCTCTGACACTATTTTAAGTTGATTAGTGAAGCAATCATAAGAATCCCAGCTTCATGTCCTGCTGCTGAGCGAGCACAGTTGCCACACTCCGCTCTGCCTTGGATGGCAAGGCTCCTCCTCAACATAAGGGACCACATGCAGGCAGGAATTTTATTTTGGGACTTTTGCTGTGTTTTCATTTTGCCTAAAGCATTTCTTACTGACGTTAAGGTACCCATGATTCTATCTGATGCTCTCTTTCCTCCTGGGAACCAAGCAAGTCGTAGTGAACCCCCAATGAGACCTTGAGGCAAACTGTAATACGAGCTATAACCAAAATAAGTGCCATGTCACAAGTAATTTATGTTCCTGGGGAGCTTAAGAGTCGCTATGCAGGATGCTTAGGAGACAAGGCAGATCTCACTAACAGGGATGCAATCCTAGCACCTACAGCAGGAGGAAAGCAATTTTGTAGTGTTTGTACTACAGTAATGCCTAAAGGGCTACGATCAGGAACATCAGACATACACATGGTGAGAGACGGGCTGCTCAGCTAGCTGCCTAGGACGGGTAATACACAGAAACAGCAGGCTCAGGGCACTGCAAGGCAGCTTTCTCCCGTCAGACCCATCCTGCAGAGGGGCCTCGCTATGGAAGCCCCTCTGTGGAGTGGAACAACATCGAAGCAAAACCAGCAATAAAGTGTAATACCGGGTACCAAACACCACCCCTCTGCTGAGCAAGATTTTGTGGCCATTTCATCCAAGATGCAGCTCTTTTAACATTGCCCTAGAGAGGACCATAGCTGTTTGAATGTGATTTAAAAAGAGTGAAATCAAACTGATCTAAGGACAATTTGCAGGAGCAAACAGAGTGTCAGCATGACAATCCCGTTTGCCCCAGCAGTCACCACGGGCTCTTCGCATTTACCCAGTTTGCGGTCTAAAAGCGACTGATAAAACTCCCTTTGTCTTGTTTTCTTACTTTAAATCTCTCCTCCCAGGGGGTCTGCAGAAGCTGAATCATCTCCAGGGGGGATCCCAATTCCAGCATAGCTGTGACCCGTATTTCAGGATCTCCGCTATTATCATAGCATTGACCGTGCAGCTGCGGGGATGGAAGGAGCGATTGTCAGAG